GATATTGATATGTTAAAAAAAATAGTAAGAATGATAATAATAATAGTGATAATTATTCAATATATTGATTTGTAACATTTTCCTCCCCTTAAAATTTGAGCTCCTGCTAAATTACTTTTTACCACGACATTATTTTATTCTGTAGTTCGTCTAACTCGTCACAGTCTAATTGACTAAGTTTGATAAAGATGGTCAGGTTTACTGCAAGTAAAAGAGTTAGATCTACTCCAAAAGTAGTATGTAACCATTCCATTATCCGTAATCGGTTAAGTAAGGTTTTCTGTTTTGGATTTTCACCAATCCCTTTTAGAATTCTGCATTTGTCAAGGTCGTCCATTTGCGATGTCAGGTGTTCTGCCATTTGTGCTAATAGGTAGAGTTTTATTCTGTCATGTCATCTCGATTTAACTACTTTATTCCATTCATCCTGTAATTTTTGTAAAGTTTGTTTTGGCCTTTGTTTAGTTGATTTTCATTGTCGTTTGGCCCTTTTAAAGATCTTATTTAATTCATTGATCTTTTCATAACGTAGTTTTGAAGTTTCTTTATGAGTTGTTGGTATGTTTTGCAGTGGGTCCGTTGTTTCATTTCCTTCTATTGGTAATGGAATTTCTATGAATTTTGGTCCCGTAAGGTCAACTTCTATTCGTAGTGTTGGGTAGTTTTCCAAGAGTTCTGTGATCATTTCGGTGGCTAGTTGCCAAATTCTTGGGGTGGTGTTGTTTTTCGTTGTATGGTAGTCGTTTTTATTGTTCATTTTTAATTAAATTTATTTTTAAGTTTTTATTTATGTTAGATCGGAAAATTATATGATTTTTATTTTTCTGATTGGTTCGTTTTTATTAAACTTTATTATTATTATTATTTTATATTCATTTAAATTCTTTGTTGATGTTGGTATTATTATGAATGAGGTCATTTTTGTGGTTCCTTCCCCTTCTTCATTTGAGAATTCGTCCTCGAATTCTTCATTTTCTTCTTTTCGTTGATAATAATGTTTAAGTCGATTTCCGTGTATGAATTTGACGTGGATTCCGTTTTGATCGGTGAGTTTGTAGGCTCCGTTGTTGAGTTTTTCATGAATTCAGTATGGTCCATCCCATTTGGGGTTTAATTTTCTGGATCATTGTTTGTCGCTTTTACTTTGATATACAAGTACTTTGTCTCTGGTGTTATATTCTTTATTTGGTAAGTTCAAATTATGACGTTCTTTTTGTTTTTCTTGGGCTTGTTCGATGTTAATTTTAGCTTCTAATCTCTTTTCGTTCAGTTGATAAATAACTTCGAATATTTGTTTATCAATGGTTTCTTGGTAGTTTTCGTTTGTTTGTTTGATATCGGTGAAAAGTTGTAATTCGATGGATAGTATAGCTCTTTGTCTGTATAATAATTTGAAAGGAGTAAATTTAGTGATGTCATGTTTGGCAGTTTGGTAAGCGAGAAGTGTTGCGGGGATATGGTCATCCCAATGTGTCTTCGTTTGAATTGATAATTTTGATAATGATTCACAAAGCATCCGATTAAATCATTCTATGAGTCCATTTGTCTGGGGGTGATAGGGTGAAGAGAGCGTTCTTTTTATTTTTATCCGTTCGCAAAGAGTTTTAATCGTTTCATTAACGAAATGTGTTTCTTGATCCGTTAATATTTCTTTAGGACATCCATAGCGTGAGATAATTTCTTCTTTGATGAATTTCTCAACATTTGCGGCATCAGCTCTTCGAATAGCTTTAGCTTCTGGCCATTTGGTTAGATATTCAACGGTTACTACGATATATTGATTTCTTCTTGTCGTTACTGGGAGTGGTCCAACGATGTCAATTCCTACTCGGTCAAATGGCTTGATAACCCTAATTGGATTCAATAGTTCTGTCTTTTTTGGTCATCCTCGTTGTTGGCAGATGGAGCAGGTACAGATATATTCTTTTGTATCGTTTATTATCGTAGGCCAGTAATATTGTTCTTTAATTTTATTAATGGTTATGTTTTGTCCGAGGTGTGCGGCAGTTTCGTCGGTGTGAAGTTGTTGAAGGATAATGTCCTTTTCATTCTTTAGTATAACTCGTTTTGGTCTTTTTTCCTTTCGTTGATAGTATAATTTTTCTTCCAATATGAGATAATTGTTTTTATATTTTTGTATATATTTTTGTTGTTCGGGCGATAATTTCGCCAATGTTGTTCGATTTCTAATATAGTTTATCCAGGTGTTATATAGGTTTTGTTCCATGTTTAATGTTGTCGTTGGTCGGTTGTGATATTCGTCTGGTTGTTGGGTCGTAGTCAATTATGGGGAATCCAGGATAAAGCATCAACGTTGGAATGTTTTCGGCCGGGTTTGTAAATAATTTCGAAATCGTATTCTTGCAGAATGGCGATCCATCGCATCGTTCTTCCGGTTGGATTGGATTTGGTTATGAACCATTTCAATTCAACATGGTCGGTTATTAGGTCGAATTTCTGCTTGTGTAAGTACTGTCGAAAGTATTTTACTGCCCATATAACTGCTAAGCATTCCATTTTGTGGATGGCATAGTTTTGTTTGGCAGGTGACAATCCTCTGCTCGCGTACGCGACGGGTCGTTCATTTTCTTCCGAGTCAGTTTGTGAGAGGATAGCGCCCAATTCAAGTTTTGATGCATCGGTGGTGAGGATGAACTTCTTTTTGTAATCCGGGTATAATAGAATAGGTGCATTAATTAGTTTTTCTTTTAAATTTTTAAACGCTTTTTCATGTTCTTCTTTCCATTCGTATCACTGATCCTTTTTTAATAATTTATATAGTGGTTCAGCAATATTGGAGAATCCTTAGATGAAACATCGATAATAAGAAGCTAGTCTAAGAATCCTCGTAGTTCGGTAATATTTGTCAGTTGTGAAAATTCTTTTACTTTTTCTATTTTAGTTGGGTCCGGTCGAATTCCATTTCATGTAATAATATAGCCCAGAAATTCAAGTTGTTCCTTGCAGAAGTGGCATTTGTCGAGGTTCAGACGTAGTCCAGCTTCCTGTAGTCTTTGGAATGTCTGCTCCAAGTGATCTAAATGACTTCTGAACGACAGCGAGTGGATATTGGTGTCATCGAGGTAGATAACTAAAAAAGTTCAAGCTAGACCAGTATAAACCATATCCATGAGTCATTGGAAGGTGGCGGATCCGTTGGTCACGCCAAAGGGCATTACGTTGAATTCGTAAATACCTTGTTGAGTGGTAAAGGCTGTCTTTTCGCAGCTGTCTGGATCCATTTCGACTTGTCAATAACCACTCGCTAAATCTAATGTTGAGAACCATTGGGATCCTTCTAGCGAATCTAATATTTTGTCGATTCGTAGTAGTGGGTAAGCGTCTTTTTTAGTTACTGCGTTTAGTTTTCGATAATCAACACAGAAGCGTAATTTTCCATTCTTCTTTTTTACTAATATGATCAGTGATGTCCAAGGGCTAGTTGATGGATGAATTATACCATTTTTGAGCATTCGTTCTATTTCTTGGGTAATAAATTCTGTTGACTTGGGTGGAGCTCTGTAAGCACATTGCCTAATTGGTATAGCATCTCCAGTGTTGATTTTGTGTTGTATTCTGTTGGTTCTTCCCATTTCATTGTCGTCAGTTGCAATAGGTTAGTGTATTTTAATAGTAATTGATGTAATTGTTTCCGTTGTTTTTTCGAGACTTTTCCGATATTAATTTTTGGTAGGTCTTTAATTGTTAAGATGTAGGTTTCGACGTTTTGGGTGTTTTTCCTTGTTTTTTTTTGTCTCGGTTCAATTTTGAAATAATGGATCATGTCCTTTGCACAATGGAAAGTTTGTAAATATTCGATTTCATCTTTGATATATCCTAATATGGTTCCTTCTTTTAATAAGACGGTTTGGTTCCTTTGGTTGATTAACGTAATCTGGATTTTATATTATTTTCTGGGCGTGATGTATTGGTGGTTACAGTTAAGTCCATATTCTTCGAATAGTTTATGATTTGGTTCGAATAGAAGTGGTTTAGAACTAACGACTTCTTCATTTCGACTTTTCCATACAATCATTTCTTTCGGATAGATCGCAATAGCTCGTTCCAATAGGATAGGCATTCCTCAAATGATGTTGTCGCCATTTTCTTCAGGTATATCAACCAAATTGGTTGTTTGTTTCATTTTTCCGGTCGATCCTAATCCTTTCTGACCTCTTTTACTTTGTCCCAGTTCGATGCGTGTTTTTACTGGTGTCATCTTCCTGACTGGTAGGATCAGTAGGTAAAGAGCTTGGCCAATTCATTCTTTGGGTAATATTTTATAATTCCTTTTTGATCCATTCTTTAATATAATCTGTAGATTTCTGACATAGCCAGCGTCAACAATTCCTCTCTCGACGGTTATTCCCTTTTTCGCGAGTGATGATCTTGATGCTAATTGCATCATACTATTTTTAGGAACTTCTACAGTGATTCCTAAATCGATCACTATAGTTTCGTTGAACGGTAGGATGAATGGTTCCTTTTCTGGATAGTATAAGTCGAATTCAGCGTCAGTGTTATGGACTTTGGTAGGTAAGACTGTCTCATTGTTTTCGATATAACATTTAGTCTTTTGCTTCAATTTTCTTGGTCGTAATGGTTGATATTTATTCATTTCAGGTGGATAAAATATTGCTCGACTTCATAAAACCAATCGGTGGTTCTTTGATTCCTTGTATTCCATTTATTGGTCTCGTGGAGGAAGTTGAACCAGTCGATTTGTAGCGATTTGGTTTGGTATGGGAATTGATTTCGACAGGTATTTTTGTCTTCTCGTATTTCGAATTGATCACAACAGTCGTTTATTTCATTCCATTCTTCTCCAGGAATAGGGATAACTTCAGGCCAGCAGTCGTCACAGTATTGACTTTGGCAAGACATTAAGCATTCGTCACATAACTTAATCTTTATCTTGGCGAGTTCTTCCTTCTGTCGTGTCTCGGTTGGTGCTAATCTTTGGTAGTTTTCATGGAAGATTCCTCGGTCGTCAAGCCAATCGTAGTCGGCGATTTCGTCAATGAAGGTATAATATTCTTCATTTTTCATCTGTCGAATTTCTCCAATTGGGGCCTGGTCCATGAATTTAATGGCTAATTGTCAGACTTTCTTATTTTTCTCTGGTTCTATGTTCATCCGATTGCAAGCTCTCCAGTAAGCGTCCTGGAATGGTGTTCCTTGGGTACACCATCGTTGAATTAGATAGACGTATTTACAATCATGATCGCATACTCCTCCTACGCCTGGTATATCTTCCCAGTCGTACTTTGTCAGTATCAGAACTTTACATAATAGACAGTTTGTTCCATCCCAAAGTCCAGTGCCATCGGTCTGTTCGATATATCCGAAATAGTTATTGCTACACCATTTGCAGAAATAAGCAATTTCTTTTCCCCATTCCTCATTTGGATCGATGGTGGCGAACATACGGGATAACTTTTTTTTATATTCGTTGCATTCTAGTCAAGGTGACGTCCAGCGATTCTTTCTTTTCGGTGGGATTATTTTTCTTTCGCGTCGTCTTTGCCCACTTTCAGTAAAAGCAAAGTTTTCGTATTCGATTATAGGTGCGTATGGGTCATTTTCAAGTTTCTGTTTCTTTTCAAAACTAATCGGGATACTGACTTCTTTTCCTTTATAGGTGATGGTCATCCAATTTCCGTGCCAATCGAGCTGGGCATGGGTCTTCTTCATCCAGTTATTTCTGACTAATGCCTGATATTGCGGGACGTCGATTACCAGCACTTTGATCGGTAC